CCGCGATAGGCAGAGCTCAGTTGTACTGGCTGGCCACACAATGCAAACTTGCTCCACTTGGCACAAGGCCACGGTTTGTTCTGGCCAAGGTTTATGGGGACGTACCTGCCCCTTCTTAGGTTGACCAACTGCCCTCCTTGATGCCCCCTGCTGGGAAGGAGCTGTCTCCCCTGCGGAGAATAAACTGCCCCTGCCCAGTGGGGGGTGCTTCTGGGGCTCAGAGACCCTCCCATATGGGGCAGGTGGGAGACGGCTGTTTCTCTCGCTGCTTTGGCCACAGGAAATGGACAGCAGGGCCCTGGAGGGGCAGCTGAGCGAGATCCACGGGAAGCTGCAGAAAATGGAGGCTGGACAGAAATGTGCAGCCCAGGAGCCGGAGGCGAACCAGGCCGAGGACAGGATGAGTGTCCAGCTCAGCAAACTCCAGTCCGATTTCACTGAGGACATCAAGGAAGTTAAGGCAGAGGTTAGCGCTGGTAAGGCGACCCGGGGGACACCCAGCCAGCAGCAGGGTCCTGGAGGGGGGGGGTAGCAGAGAGTAATGGGACAAGCTCCCCCCCCCCCCCCCCCCCCCGGCCTTCCTCCCCCGGGCCCCCCCCCCCCCCCCCCCCCCCCCCCCCCCCCGGGCAGGGCTGCTTTCTGCCTGGGCAGAGAGAGGGAGGCGGGGGCTCCCCTGGGAAAAGGGTGGCCCAGCTCTCGCCATTCCTCCCCCCACCCCCAGGACTCAGCACCATCTATGAGAGCATCGGATCCCTGCAGCAGGTCCTGGAATCGAAAATGAAGCTGGACAAGGAGGAGCTGCAGAAGCAGATCCAGCAGCTGAAGTGAGGGGCAGGGCAGCTTGCAGGTCCTGGCCAGGCAGCGAACCGCCCTCCTCCTCCTCCTCCTCCTCCTCTGCTCCAGCGGGACGGACGCTGGCCGCCTGGGCCAAGGGGCTGTGGGCCATTGACTGTAAATAAGAGACGCCGGGCCTGGCCAGAGAAACCGCCCTTCGCAAGGGGAACCGGACGGGACGGTGGCCAGGCCTCTCTGGATCTCGGCTCCCCGCCTGGCCTTTGGAACCAGGCTTCCTCCAGTCGATGCCTCCTTCCGCCATCAATGCCAGCGTGCCAAGAGCCGAGGGAAGAGACTCCGGAATCCAGCTGGCTGGCTTCCCTTGAGAAGGACGGAGGGGGTTTGCAAGTGGCAAGACGGTGCCAGCCAGGCGGGGAAGGGCCATTCACCGCAGCCTCCCCTGGGCCGGATACTTGCTCTCCACCCCTGACTGCTCCTTCAGCGTTCACTCCAAGGAGCAGGTCCACAGAGGTCTCTGCAGAGCCTGTGGCTGGCGCCTGCTTGCACTTCCACACGGCCGGTGAAGCCCATTCTTGCTCGGCGCCTCTCCCTGCCACTTCTCCCCACCCACCCACCCTTTTGACACTTCTGAACACACCTGCGTGTCAGGACGGTGGCTCCTTTTCCGGCCCAGGTGCCCTCTGGCTTCCCTGCAGTTCTCGTGCCAGCCCCTCCTACGCCCTGCCATCTCAGCTGACCACTGCCAACGTATTCGCTCTGCAGCCGGGGCCCAGCTCAGTGCCAGGAAGATGCTAGCCCCTCCCAAGCCACACCCGGCCAAGGCCTCCCTGCGTACCTGGGGCCCTGCCATCCTTGCCGGTCGCAAGCCTGGCCCCACCGAAGGCAGCCTCCCCTGCCCCAGCCAGAGGGTGACCCTGCCCTCCGCGTCTCCTCCTCTACGCTGTCCCAAGGGCCCACCTGCCCTCCTCCACGAGGATCCCGCCAGCAACAGGTACTGGGAGCCCCTTCAGCAGCTCCAGCCTCTCCAGGCTCTCGCCCAGCCCCCCTTGGGCCCTTGGGCCTCCTGCTGACTGGACCCAGGGAGGGGAGGCAGGTGGAGGGTTTTTTGCTTCTGAATGCTGTGAGGCTTGGAGTTCCCCTCGAGGAAGCTGGTCTGGGAGGGGGGGGCTGGGTGTTCTACAGGAACCTATTTGCTCTGCCTTCACCTGAAGCTCAGGTGTTTTTTGTACAAATCTTTAAGCAAAGTGGCATTTTCACAAAATCACACTCCTCGCTCCCTGACACCTTTCTCAGCTCATGTTTTGTCAAGATAACATTTGGGTTTTACAACATCTCACAGCGGAGAATCTTGCAATGTTTTTCCTCAGAATGTTAACCTCATGCAGAAATGAGATAAGTTGGTAAAATGTAGAATATTGTAATGGAAAGTCAGCCCCAGAACCAGATCCAGTCAGGGACATTTCAGCCCCTTCCCCAAATGTTTACCTGGGGTGGGAGGTTGAAGAAATAGAAGTTCGGCTCTTTCCCTAAAAGCAAAATGCTTAGCTTGGATTCCACCTGTTTCCTGCATTACAGGGGCCATCCTCGCGTTGCCCCTCGCCTTGGGCAGCGGGGCCTAATCAGGAAGGGCCCCCTGCCCACGGGGCTCTGGACATCTTCTGACCTTCAGGCACGATGGTTGCACCTCATCTTGGAGGCCCTGGCTCCGATGCAAACACTGTGGCTCACCTTGCTCAGGTGTGCTTCTCTTCTCTTTCCATTGCAGAAACGTTGCAGCCCTGGCTGGCCCCCAAGACCACCTTCCTTGGGCACGCTGATTGCCCGTGGAGGATGTGACCAAGGCAACCAAAGATGGACCAAGCAGAACATCCTCCTTGCCCCCACTCGGCCAGCTGTCCTGGAAACCCTCCCTGCCCCACATCTGGCACTGGGAGAGCCGGCTCCTGACCCGTCCTGGATCCCTTGGTGCCGAGGGCCTGGGCAGCCCTCCAGCCAGCGCGTCTCCCTTTCCCTGGCATTGCTTGGGTGGGGGAAATGATCACCCAGGAATGGATGCAGGGATGGGGAGGGAAAGCTGGGGCTGGGTCAGCCTTGGGGCTGCCTGCTGGGACCTCCCAGATTCCCCAAGTCCCAGCCAGCGTGCAGGAAGGCATCCCTCTGGGCCAGGGGTAGAGAGTTGCATTCTGGCTTTTCTAGGGCATGCCAAGCCCCAGGAGGGTCTCATCCGTGATGAGAAGGTGGGCACCCCTTCCTTCCTTCCTTCAACTGCCAGCCTGGGAAGCAGATGGCGTGGCTGCGCTCAGCCCCAGCCCAGGCCTGGAGCTTTGCCAGAGTCCCTGGGCTGTTCCTGGGCACCTTCTGTTCTGGCTGCCCCGCTGATGAGGTGGCCGGCAGGCTTAGCTGGGCATCGTGCCAAATCATTCCTCCTGGTCTCACCAGCCAAATTTATAAAAAAAATTCTGAATTCATCCACAATATAATCACGATGAGTCGATTTCTTCAGATATTCCTTAAATGTCTTTTTGAGAACAAAATGTATGTCTATATTTGTGTAGTTTTTGACGACTTAACAGACACACAAGATTGGCAAGAAGCCCAACAGCCTTTTATAAATAAGGGCTCAACAGTTGCTTGATGGTGTAAAATTTTTAATAGTGAAAAAGAAACCCGGGGGGGGGGGGGGATAGATGACGGCCGTTACAGTTTTGGAGGGTATTTGACTGTAAACCTTCTTCGTGCGATTCCCCCGGGCTGGCCCTGCATGAACTGCCCGGGGATTCCCGGCCGTGGCGTTTGCGCTGCGCTCTTTGTCGGAAGAATTTCTTCAACTCTGAATAAAAGTGAACGTTTCGCGGCCGCTCCCGCCCTTCTTGCGCCCCGCGGGGGCTTCGGCGAGGCGAGGGCGCCCCTGAGCGCGTGCAGAGGCCGGCGGCTCCTCCTCGCGGGGCCGAACCGGAAGGGCTGCGCGGGCGGAGCGAGCGGGGCGGCCAGCGAGGGGCGATGCCGGCGGAGGAGGAGGAGGAGGCGGCGGCGGCGGGCGGGCCGCGGCTGTGCGGCTACCTGCAGAGGCTCTCCGGGAAGGGCCCGTTGCGGGCTTTCCGCAGCCGCTGGTTCGCCTTCGACGCGCGGCGCTGCGCGCTCTGCTACTACCGGGGCCCGCGGGAGGCGCAGCCGCTGGGCCGCCTGGAGCTGGCCCACGCCGCCTTCCGCCTGCACGACCCGCCCGCGCCCGGCCCGGGCCCCGCGCCGCAGCCGGCCGAGGAGGAGCGGCGCCAGGAAGACGGCGCGCCCGGCACCGCCTTCGAGGTGCACGGCCCCGGCGGCGACGTGGCCGTCCTGCGGGTGAGCAGCCAGGCGGGGAGGGGGCCGGGAGGGGCGGAGCCTTTCCTCCCCGGGGCCCTCCGAGAGGCTCCTGGCCGCGCCCCGCGGGACTCTGGGCTTCCCGGGTGGGCGCTGACCTGCCCCGGGGCGGAGGGCGGGGCGCCTTGGACGACCCCTCTCTGCCCGGCAGAGCCCCGCCCCCCCCCCCGCGCCCTTGCCTGGCCCGCACCTGGCCAGGTGGGCGGAGGTGCCCAGGGCTGCAGACTTGGGCAGGGCGGGGGGGGGGCGGCCTTTCCCGGCAGGACCCCGAGCAGCCCTGGTCTCCCTGCCAGGGGGCCCTCCGTGCCAGGACTGCTCCCTGGGCTGAGCCAGGCCCCGGACGGAGGCCCCAGGCGCTCTGCTGCTTCTGCGCGACCTCCCCTCCCTCCCCCTCCCAGATGTTTAGGGAGGTCTCTCCAGATGGGTTTGCACAAGCCTCTTGGATGCACTTTGGATCACAAGGCCCAGCAGGGCAACCGCTCCGGTCTCTCACTCGGCTGACCCAAAGGGGGGCCTGTGGCCAATGGAAGGCAAAAAGGGCTCACAGTCAAAGCTGGTCGATCCCCCCCCCCCCCCCCCCGCCCTTTTAACGGACCCCCCCCCCCCCCAGGCCCTGAGCTCTCTGGCTCTCAACACCTGCCTGCAGCTGCTCTGGAGGGACCTCTGAGGTTTTCACGCCAGCAGCAATGGCCCAGCGGCCGAGGGCCTGCTGAAGTCCCAGAGGTCATCCAGCCCCAACCCCAAAGGCCAGTTGTGGGAAATGGCAAGATTTGAGAGAGACTTTGACTCTGTTTCTGGAGCAAAACCCCTCGGTTGAAGTCCCTGGTGCAAACACAAAACCTTAAAGGCTGGTAAGGTGTCAAATTCCCTCCTCGTGCTGTGGCACAATAGCTGAGCAGTTGGCCCATGCGTCCATAGCAGGATTCTGTCTTGGGTCAGACTAGATGGCCTCCAAGGCTCCCCCACTCTGCCAAGCCAGGCGATGACTGCTCGCTTGGGCTGTCTGTGTTTATCCAGCGGATAGGGAAGCTGCCTCTCCTCTCCGCTGGCTCTGGTCCACTCTTCTTCTTCCTCCTCCTCCTCCTCCTCCTCCTCCTCTTTGAGGCCTGTAACAGGCTGGGCTGCCTGCTTCTCTCCACCACAGGCCGCCACGCACCAGGACATGATGTACTGGCTGCAGGAGCTCCAGCAGAAGAGGTGGGAGTATTGCCACACTCCCGACGCTGCCAAGTGCTACAGCCGGACGTCGCCCACCCCGGCCGGGTGCTCCAGGGGCCTGGTGGCCAAAGACAGTCCCGGTAAGGGATGCACCTCTTCCGGGGACAGGGCCCCGGGGAAACGGCTTGGCAAACGAGGTCACAGCTGAGGCGGCTTCCACATGGTGTGCTGCTTTCACGCCGGCTTCGTGGTCCGCGTTTGGGGGCCGGATGGGAGGGAGAAAAGGCTCCAGCCACGTGAGGCCAGGCACCTCAGGCCAGGATCCCTGGACAACCAGGCCCAGTTGGTCTTCCTCACCTGGAGGTTGTGCTGGGACTACAACTCCCAGCAGTGATTGTTCACAGAGCGGTTCACAAGCCAAACAAGGCTCTGTGAAAGCCGCCTCAGCACATTTTTTCCCCCATGGGTCACAAGAAGCTGTTTCCTTGATTTGGTGATCATTTTTTGCTTTGTTTTTCTCCACAACAGCAAACATTTATTTAAAACTGTTACTTTAAAGTTAATACATATTGGAAATTGTGGTGAACGTATATGTGTCTTTGTGCATGTGTAGACACACGTGCACATCAGCAAATACAAGCAGCCAGCTTTTTGTTTTATTTTGTGTTAATGCTGGATTTCTAACTGAATTCTTTTGCCCAACGTTAATTTTTTTCTAAACATATACAAGGGACGTTATGCATCCGTGCATGTTTTCAGCAGAATATCCAGTTGCAACAATAACGTCATTCACAGTTTCCCCCTTTTTAACGGCCGTGTTTTTAAAGAGGTGGGCAGTAAATAAAACATATGCCGCCCTTGTGGGTAAGGGAACCATCGTGCGGTTGGCATTTGCTGGGTGGCTCTGATGAGGCTGTCTGAGCTTTCTCCAAGGGTGACGGCCTGGGTGTGTTTGTGGATCTCTGCCTCCTGTTGCAGTTCCTGCAGCTCCAGAACGGCTGTGGCCCCGGAGGGAGGGCTAGGCCAAAGGGGGGGGGGGAGGGATTGCCTTGCCCTTCCCCTCCTCGAGGAGCCAATTCAGCTTAGCAGGCGGGGTCCCTGCCAGCCCGCCTCCTCCCTCCGCAGAGCACTCCGAGCTGCAGCGGAAGAGCTGGGCCTGCCCTCCTCGCTGGCTGTGGTTTCCTCCGGGGAAGCCACTTCAAGGCCTCCTGCCCAGCTTCTCCCCAGGGAGCAGAGAGCCCGAGCCTGGGAGAGGCGCTCTGCGGGCGGACAGGTTGGGGAAAGCCTGGGGTGGGGGGCAAAGCGCTCCCACCGACCGTCCCAGAGAGGAACCCTGGTAGTGGCCACACAGAAGCCGGCGACCGTGGCATGGGATGGGGAGCCGCGTGGGCATGGGCTCGCCCGCTGAGCTGCAGGAAGGGGTTTGCCCAGCTGGGCGTGCGCTGCCAGCGCCGCTCCTGTTAGGGTCGAGCAGAGAGGAAGTGTGACCCAGGCGGCTGATGAATGCGCCTCTGCGTTTCCTGCGAGGGTCCATGAAGAGCCGAGGGATCAGCAGGCTCGGTTGTTCCCCGCCAGGCCTCCGTGGTGAACCCCCTGGGCCTCCTGGGACCGTTTCCTGGAAGCCTCGAGGTGGAAGCCGGTTGGCAGATAACGGGTGGGGTTATTGCTCTTCCTCAGATTCCACGGCGCTGCCTGCAAATGCTTCGGCGGAGAAAGCCCGCCACGTCCTCGCCGTCGAGATCGCCCCCACGGAGCTGGTGGGGGAGCAAGCCGCCTGCCTGCCCGCTCCGGGCCACCCCGGCCCCATCAACTTCTCCCTGAGGCAGCTGGGCACCGAGATCAGGTGAGTCCTGGCGGAGGCCAGCTGGAGAGCTTGCTGGGCATGAATGCGCTTCCTCTTCTGGGGCCCGTTTGGACTTAAGGCTGGCGGCCCTGAAGCGAGCGAGCAGGCTCTGGAAGTGGCTTCCAGCAGCCAAAACCCCATAAGTGATGCCGCCTGTTCTGAACTCTGAGCTCCCCCAGAGAAGTCCCGTGAAGCGCAAGGATGGCTCTCTTAGGCTGTGCCCCTCAGAGGGCCACGCTGGCCAGCAGCACCTGCCTTCCAGAAGGAGGGTGATGAGGAAGGGCCGCCACGAAACCAAACGCGGAAAGTGTGGTGGCAAAGTGACCTTTTGGGTGTGTGGGGTTTTTTTTTTTTGTAAATGAACATGGAATGGACATCGGGGTCTCCCCTTTGAGCTCTTGGCCATCAGAACCCTCTGCAATGGCCACCCCCAAGTCCAGCCCCCTTGCCACAAAAGCCCCCAGCTCCCCTCCCACAAACCCCCTTGGCTCTCCCCCTGGTCTGGGGCAAGGCAGGCACACAGCCTGCGAGGTGGCTGGGGGCACTTGAGAAAGGACCGGGCCCTCGAGGCACAACAGTTGGCAAACCCTTGTGAGTCAGACTCTGCTCCCCGTGTGAGGCTTGAGTTCCTCCTTGCTCTTCCGAAATGCCGGCCTGAGTTTCTGTCTGGACACGGAGCCCAGCGGTTGGCGGCCACAGTTGCTGCTGGTGCCCGGTGAATGGACGGCAGCTACCAAGGGAGAAGCCTTGGTTGCCCCCGCCCCGTGTGTGCCTTTTTGGACTTTCCCTGTTGGGCATCTGCCTGCTGAGGGCTTCCCTCTTTTGCTGAGCCTTCCCACGGCCTGCTCGGCAGTGCCCCCTTCCGTGGGGTAAACAGAGGTTGGATTTGGCAATGGGACACGCCTCGTGGCCGCTGCGTTGAACCCGCTTTCTCCTTGGAAGGAGGGAGGATGTGGGGCCTGGAGGTCTCTACCTTGGGGCAGAGGAATCTGGCAACGCCGGTGTCAGTTTTAAAAAATCCTTGGGCTTCTGTGGCTTTCTTGACTTCCCCGTGGGACCAAAATAGAACGGCAGGGTCTCCCGGCTTTTGAGCGAGGCAGGGAAAGCCACGGGCTGGTCAGAGCCAGCGTTGGTCTTCCTAAACACCCTTTCTTCGCCTGGGTGTGTGTGTGTGTGTGACCCTGTCTTGGCTTATTTTCTGCCCCACCCCCACTGGTGAGAAATGGAGATTTGGCGCTGCAGAAGGCCAGTAGCGTAGCAGCTGCAGCTTGACCACAGGCGGCCATCGGAGGGCCAGGCTCCTGGTGTCCAGGTTTTAGCTGAGAGTGGCCAGAGGGTGGACAGCGGGGAGGCCCAGAGGTTCTGGCGTTGGGCGTTGGGAAGGAAGCGCAGCTGGGCCGATGAGCCTGAGCGCCTGTCCACAGGCGGTTCCAGAGAGCAAAGGCTTGTGATGGAGGGGCAACGGAGCCGTCCTGTCCTGGGCCGCTTTGGAAGCCCAAGGAGGGGGAGACGCTGATGCTCTCGGGGCCCAAACATTCTCCAGGCAGCCTCTGGTGGCGGGCGGGTCTGCTTTAAGGCCCCCGGAGACGAGGCTGGGGTCTGGGCTTCTGCAGCCTCGTGGCTCTTCCCCTCTGCCCTCCCAGCCGCTTTGGCCGTCTGTCCTTTGCAGGAATTCTGTGTCTTCCTTGAGAGCCGGAAAAGGGAGTGGCGAGAACCGCAGGAGCGTCTTTTACACCGAAGAATGGGAAATGCTGGACCCCTCCCCCAAAGACCTGCAGGAGTCGGCAGCCCAGGAAGAAAGGCGGAGGCTGGCAGCCGAGCCCAGCAAAGGTGCTGCCCGTTGCCCCCCCCCCCCCCCCCGGCGGATGTCCAACGTTTGTCCCGGGAGGTTCGGGCTCGGGGCTCGCAGCAGCAGGCTGGGTGTTCACTTCGATGCCTGGCTGGCTGTCCCGGCTTCTCTCACGGCTAAGATTGTTTGGCAGTCTGGATGGAGAGGAGGCTCCTCCCCTGCTTGGACAGGTGGGCGGCTCAGGGCTCTCTGCACTTGCCCAGGGGTGCTCCGTATCGCTGAACCGGCCAACCTTCTGTTCCCCCCCCCCCCCCCCCGCCGCCCGCCGGGGCCGCCCCCCCCCCCCCCCTTTCCCCCCCCCCCCCCCCCCCAATGCTGCAGGCGGGACTGGCCCGACCTTCCCCTTTGATTTCGGCCGCCTCCCACACAAGGCCAGGCGCCCCTCGAAGGACCCCATGGCTTCTGGCAAAGGCCGAGGCAGCCCGGAGGCGTCCCCTCTGGAGTGGGACGGAGGCCGGCCGGCTGCAGAGATGCAGCTGAGGTTGCAGAGGCAGCAGGAGAACCTGGAGCAGCTCAAGACGGAGCTGGCCAGCCAGAAGGTAGGCAGGCGGGAGGGAGGGAGGGCGGCTTTGGCCACCAGCTGTGGTGGAGAAGGACAGGACAGCGCCTGGATGGCAGGTTCCTCCGCTCGCCCGTCACCTTCCGCATTGGCTTCGGGGACCCGAGGGGCAGGAAAGCCCTTCCTGGGGGGGTCAGCCTTCGGCCCACTGGCTGAGGCCTGCCTGTTTCCGCACACCCTCCCTGCGCTCAGTGCCGAGTACGAGAAGCGCTGGGATCCTCCAGCATGAGCCGCACCACCTGACGCTGGCTGGGGCTGAGAGGGAGGGAGAGAGGGTGGCCCACAGTCACTCCACAGTGAGGACTAGAATCTTGTTCTCCCCACCCCTCAACCTCAAGGCCACCGGCTCTCTCTTTAAGCAAGCAGCAGCAGCAGCAGCTGTCCGAGGCTTTTGAGGGGATGCGTGGCAGGTGGTGCCGGCCTTGGAGGCAGCCCTGGAAGGGCAGTTTAGTGAGAGGCCTTTCCTGCCCCTTGGGGAGCGCCTGGGGCTGGAGCAGGAGGCGCTTCTCGGCCAGGCGTGGGGCTCCCGGGGGCAGGGGGCTCAGACCAGCCAGGGCAGCAGGTCCACTGCAGCAGGCGGCCTCTGCTGCGAACCGGCCCGGCTCCCCAAGAGGCTGCCAGCGCCTCCTCCCAGCAGCCCCCTTGCCCCCTCCCAGGAACTGGTGCGGCTCCTGCAGCAGACCGTCCGCTCCTCCCAGTACGACCGGTACCTGGCAGGGCCCCTCTGCGACGGGAGCGCCAAGGGCCACCTGGAGCTGCTTCACCAGAAGGACCACCAGATTCTGGGCCTCAACCACCAGCTGGAGAAGCTGAGCCTGGAGAAGGAGCACTTGCAGCAGGAGGTGGCCAGCCTGCAGGCCTCGCTGGGGGAGCTGGGCGAGCGGCTGGAGATGCTGATGGAGACCATCCAGGCGAAGGACGAGGTGATCGTGAAGCTCTCCCGGGAGCTGAGCGAGGGCGGATCCTCCTGGCAAGGCGCCCCAGCCGACCCCTCCCCGCCCGGCAGCAAGGAGCAGCAGGAGCTCAGCAAGCTGAAGGTGAGGGCCCCGCTCGCCTCCCGGGGGTCTTAGCCACACCCCAGAGCCCGCCCACCCACCTGCAGGACGGCCGGGATGAGGAGGGAAGTTCCTTGGCAGGGCGGACAGCCGGAGGGAAGATGCGGGGCCGGTTGAGCGGGAGGAGGCCCTGCGCAAGAGCGGTGGGCCTCTTGGGCTGCTCGCCTTGGGCCAGTTGCTTAGACAAGCCGCAGGGGGATTCCCCCCCCTCCCCGCCTCCCCCCCCCCCCACCCCCCCCCCCCCCCCTCTCTGGTGACAGGACAGCCTGCAGGGCTACAAGACCCAGAACAAGTTTCTGAACAAGGAGATCCTGGAGCTTTCCGCTTTACGGAGGAATGCCGAGAACCGGGAGAAGGCGCTGAGGGCAGAGGTCAGGCCCCCCGCGAGGCCTTCCCCGTCTTCATTCCCCCCACCCCCCTGGGGCGTCAGAGCCACTGACAGCTGGCCCGTTCTGGGGGGCAGAGACCCAGCGCTTCGCTTTCCAAGCTGACCGGTCTTTCTGCCCCCCTCCCCCCCAGGGGCTGGCTGACCACAGGCCCCGGGGCTCTCGCTGGGGTTGGGGGGCAGAGCCGGACTGGGGCAGAGGCTTCCCTTGGCTCAGCCCCTCTCGGTGTGCCCCCACAGCACACCAGCCTGGAAGCCCGGATGTGCCAGGTGGAGAGCAGGTACCTGGTTCTGCTGCAGGAGAGGAAGGCGCCGGTGTGCTTGGAGGAGCCCAGCCCCAACGGCGACCTGGTGGCCCGGCTCTTGGAAGACGCCCTGAAGGTGGACAGCGGTGAGCTGCCCGAACAGGCTTACTTCAAGCCCCACATGGTCAGGTGAGCCCCAGTCCGAGTTTTGGCTTGGGGCCCCCCACGGGAGTGGCTGCGGGAGGGAGATGTGGGGCTAAGAGCAGCTCCCCCCACATCCCGGCCTTTAGCAGAGGCCAGACCAGTGGCTGGCCGCTCCCAGGCATGGATCCCGGGCTCTTCTGGAGCTGGGGGTCGAGCTGAGCTCCGCGTCCAGCTTTATGCAGCCAAAGGATTGGAATTAGGCCCAACCTGGACGCCAGAGGCGGCTTCCGTGACTTCCCTGGCAAGTTTTCCTGCCTCTGGTGGCCGTGGCAAGAGACGGGCTCCCTTTCCTCCCCAGTGAGTACGACGTCTACGGGTTCCAGACGGTCCCGGAGGACGAGGCGGAGGAGGAGAGGCTGGAGGCGAAGGTGCGGGCCCTGGACCTGAAGTCCTTGTCCCTCACGGAGCACCAGGAGATGTCCACGGGCGTGAAGTGGGAGAACTTCCTGGCTGCCACCGCGAGCAGGGAGATGGTCCGGACGGTGGAGCTGAAGAACCTCGTCCGGGCCGGGGTCCCCCACGAGCACCGTTGCCAGATCTGGAAGTGGTGCGTTGGGCTCCACGTGAAGAAGCTCAAGGAGAAGAAACCCCCCGACTACTTCCAGGAGCTGCTGCAGGACATGCTGAAGAAGCAGAACCCGGCCTCCAAGCAGATCGAGCTGGACCTCCTGCGGACCCTGCCCAACAACAAGCACTACGCCTCACCCGCCTCCGAGGGCATCCAGAAGCTGCGGAACGTCCTGGTGGCTTTCTCGTGGCATAACCCGGAGATCGGCTATTGCCAGGGGCTCAACAGGTAGGCAACCCTGCCAGGCCGAGGGGCCGAGAGGACTCCAGTCCCAGGGATGGACGCCCCGACCCCCTTTCTCTCTCCGTTGTCCCCCCAGCTCCTCCCTCGTGCTTCCTCGCTTCCGTCTCAGGGCTGTGCAGCCTCTCCTGCTCCAGAGTCCACCGCTGCCTCCTTTGCGCTGAGGCAGGAGGTGGGCCCCCCTCCCTGTTCCTCCTGCCCGGGAGAGGAAGGCCTGCAGCCCTCGGCTGCCAGCTGGGCCCATGTCAGAGAGCAGGCGTGGCTCGCTTGCCTGGCTCTGCGCCAGGAGGCACTTTGCGGTGCCACTCCATGCTTCTCCCTTGCCCACTTTATGGGCCCCGGGAGGAAACGAAACAGGTTTTTTAAAGCTGCTGCTGCTTCTTGCAGAAACTGGGTCTGGCTTCCACCTCCCGGCTCTGTGGAGGCAGCCAGGTTTATGGTGGTGTGAGTGACCTTGGGAGAGGAAGAGAGGCGGCCCCACAGCTGCCCAGGGGGCCCAGCAAGAGGCTCAGGATGGACACCCCCCCCCCGTTTCCCAGGCTGCAAAGGCGGGCAGGGAGAATGGCATCTTCCGATTTGCAAACCTTTCCTAATGTCGCCTTTCAATAAAGTTGAAGTAGCTCACCTGGGCGTGTGTCCTGCCTGGAAGGGCTGCCCGGATGCGTTGAAGGGCGTTTCGTTTGAGGGGGAGGGAGGAAGGGAGAGGCACAAAGCCCCCTTCCCCTTTCTGAAGCCTTTTCCTGGGCTCTCGGCACAGCCGGGCGCCTGTCCTTGGACTCTGGGCAGGAAGCAGCGCTTGTGACGGGGTCTCTTTTCCAGGCTGGCGGCCATCGCTCTCCTCTACCTGGAGCAGGAAGACGCCTTCTGGTGCCTGGTGGCCATCGTGGAGGTCTTCATGCCCCGGGACTATTACACGAAAACTCTGCTTGGCTCTCAGGTACGCAAGAACCCCCTGGAGCTTTCTCCGGAGGCCTTCAAGCCACGGGGGGTTGGAGAAAAAGGGGTGTCTCCCCCCCCCCCCCATGAACAGTCTGGGGCAGCCTTGGAGTCGAACGGCCCAGCCAGCCGAGGGAGGGAGGCCTTCGGGGTCCCTCAGAACACCCCTCTCCAAGAGGGCTGCCTTCCCCCCCTGCTCCTCCTCCTCCTCCTCCTCCTCCTCCTCCTCCAGGTGGACCAACGCGTCTTCAAGGACCTGATGAACGAGAAGCTGCCCCGGCTACACGCCCACTTTGAGCAGCACCGGGTGGACTTCTCGCTCATCACCTTCAACTGGTTCTTGGTCGTCTTCGTGGACAGCGTGGTCAGCGACCTTCTCTTCAAAATATGGGATTCCTTTCTCTACGAGGGACCAAAGGTAACTCTCCCCCCCCCCACCAGTGGATTCCCTGGGGATCTTCCGGAGTTGGGAGGGGGGCCTTCTGTGCGGCCTGCTCTCTTTTGTAACCCAAAGCGTCTTGGACTCCCAGGTGATCTTCCGCTTTGCTTTGGCGCTCTTCAAGTACAAAGAGGAGGAGATCTTAAAGCTCCAGGACTCAACGTCCATCTTCAAGTACCTGCGGTCCTTCACTCGCACAGTCCTGGATGCCAGGTGAGGATGCCTTGTTTGCTCAGGCCCTCACACCTGTTATTAGAAGGAGCTCCTGGTTTTATCTTCTATGGGAGGAAAGAAACACGGAGTAAAACAACGGAAGCGGGGCCATAAAACGGGGTTTCAGCCCTGGCCTTCTTCAAGGAGGACTTGATGGGGTCCCCGGAGGAGAGTAAGGGCAGAAAATGTTCACTCCAACCCAGCTCATTTTCTGTCGCTGGAGCTCTCGATGGGCGGTTCCAGCTGCAGGGACCAGTTGCTTTAACTGGAAGTTCCACCGAGGTGGGGAAAGTTTGCTCATCCCTGCGGTGATGCCTTTGAGTCCACAGTGAGGCCTCCCTGGTGCGACTTCCTCCTCCTCCTCCTCCTCTTCCTCCCCCAGGAAGCTGATGGGCATCGCCTTCAGGGACCTCAACCCCTTCCCCCTGCGCCAGATCAGGAACCGGAGGGCCTTCCACCAGGAGAAGGTGCGCCAGGAGCTGCTGGAGCTGGAGGCCATGCGCGAGGACTTCCTGCGTGAACGAGAGACCGACCCAGAGAAAAGGGACCTGATCAGCGAGGATGAGGAGGACAGCTGAAGGGACCCCGGAGGACCCCTCCCGCCAGGGGAGTGGGCTTCTTCCTCAGGGCAGGACCTCGTGGGGATCCCGCCTTTTGCAACAGGGGCGGCTCCTGCTTATGGACCCGGCAGCACTTCAGGCTTCCTTCCAGTTGCGCAGCTGGGCTGGGCGTGCTTCCTTCCTTTCAAAGCCTCCGAAGTGCCTCCAGGCGTAACGCTGAAAGGCCCGCCGCCATTTCATGCCAAATCCTCGGTCTTTAAATTGTGCCGTTTGGGAGACACGGTCCTCGTCTCGTCTTTGGAAAAGGAACCAAGTCGTGATGCTTCATCGGACGCTGGCGGCTTCAAAGACATTCCGCGGGGCCCCTGGGAAGCCGCAGAGGACCCGGAGGCAGCACCGGGGGTTCCGGACGGCTGCCGTCCCCCTTCTGGGCTGGGGTCCCCGTCTCTGCTGGAACCAGCCGGGCTCCCAGGAAGGGCTCCTTTCAGGGGCCAGTCTTCTCTGCAGGAGGGCCAGCCCCATCATCGCCCGGCCTCCCCGGTCCTCCTGGGGAGGGCCTGAGGTTGAGCGGAGGAGACGAGGAGGCAAAACCCAGCCGAGTTTCTCTTGGGGAGCCGGGACAATTCATCCCAGGAGGATCTAGTCCGTCCGCCTTCCTTCCATGGAGCTTTTGTCCTTTAATCCCTGCCCCCCAACCCGGAGGCCTTCCTTGGGGAAGCGATGGGGAGGCCATGCAGCCAGGAGCTCTGCCTCCAGGCCCACGCCGCTTTGGGGGCAAAGAAGGCGCCCCACAGCCCAGGGTCGGTTTGGGGGAGGCAGGACCCAGGTCCGCCGTGGGCGTCTGAAGACCTTGAATCCTAGTCTAATGCCCTAATCCACGGCTGCAACGGGGGAATCCCTCCCTGGTGGAGGTTTGGCCGACTTGTGGCTCCCTGGATCAACGTTGGTGTCCTCGGCTGTTGTGCCGGCCAGTCCGGTGGGTTTCCTCCGGGGGTGGGGGGGGGGCTACGTGGGGTGCCCCCGGTTGTGTGATGCAAGGGTTCCTCTCCCCACGGAGCCCAGCGGGCTGGACGCCTTCATCGCCCAGAGGCCTCCCAGATGGTCAGCACCGAGGAGGGAGACAGCCACACACGGCCCCAACACACAGCCCGGTGGCACTTGGAGGTGGGTGGATGCCAACGCCTGGAATTGCTCTGCTGGCTGGGAAACTCAGAATGTCCGAATATTCAGGTCTCAGTTCCGGCTGGCAGGTTTCCCTTCCTTTTTATAAAGAACCCCAAACTCTGCTATGTATTATATATGCAAAGTATTTTATGCATGATGTCTATTCAAGCGGAATGTAACACACACACACACACACACACCCCACTCTTGCAATTTGCACAAGCTTCACAGAGATCCAGTCTATTTTTCTGCCTTTCTTGCTGGAGCCCCCGCCTGGCTCTTTTCCTCTGGAGGTGGGGTCGCAAGGAGGGATCCCGGATTCGGTGGAGGGAGTCCATTGCAGGGCCCACAGCTGGAGTAGCCCAGGGTCCAGAAGACAGGGTGGGGGGTGGGGATGACAACGGGAGGCAAGTGCAGGTGGGGATCCTGAGAGTTCTTTGGGGGTTCAGAAGCCCCGAGTTCATTTGCCAAATGTTTGCAACCTCTTGAAAGTGGACCATTTCCTGTCTTTCATTTTTGACAGCTTTTGATCTTCATTCCTGTCTGGTTTTGTCTGACCAATCCTAGTGAATAAATGCACACGACCACCTGCAGCTGTTGGATGGGCTTTTCTGTTTGCGCCTGGAGGCCGAGTGGGCTGCACCCTCTGCGGCCCTGGCAGAGAAGTGGGTGGCAGCTGCAGGCCGAAGGGATGCAGGCCAGGAGCAGCAAGGGGTGGGGGGTCCCTTTGTCTGTGGCAGAAGAAGAAAGCCGAACCCGGCTCAGCCTTTGTCACTGGAGACCCTTCGGCTGGGGATGTGGAGGGGCCGATGGCCTGGAAGTGGCCACTGGGTCCAACAGAATCCCAACCGCCCTTTGCCCTGCCCTGCGCGGTGGGCCCTCCCTTCCCGAGGAGGCTCACCCAATCCTGGTGGAGGGGACCGGGGGTGGGGTGTCAAGAGGGGTTCCAGCTGGGTGGCGGCCGCTGCAGTCCCAGAAAAAGGCAGGAAGTGGGGGGGGGGGGGGGGGGTTTGTCTGGCGGAGGCAAGAAAGGAGCTTTTCCTGTTTGCGCCTTTCACCTCCAAGCCCCCCCCCCCCCACCTTGCGATGGTCAGCCCAACAGCCGGGGGCAGTTGGCGGTTTTGCCCCAGCAGCTGGCACGGGCAGCGCCAGGCTCCGCAGGGAGGCCACCCCCACCTACCCGGGGCTGCTGGCCGGCCGTTCCGCCACGGGGCAGCAGGGGGCGCCCGCGGCTCCGGCCCGGCCCAGGCGGGGAGGCGGACGGGAGAAGCGGCGCCGCTGCTCCGGGCGCCCTCGGCTCGCAGCGCCGCGCAGGTAGGCTCGCCGGGGGCGCGCAGGGCCGGGCGGGCGAGGCAGCTGCTGGCGGGGCTGCCGGGGGGGTCCCGGCGGGGAGGGGCCGCTTCTGTTCCCCGGAGAAGCCCCGGGCGGGGGCGGCGAAGGCGAGGAGCGGGTCGGGCACCCTCCGGCGATGCAGCTAGGTTGGTGGGACCGGCGGGGGGGGGGAGGGGGGGCGCTGCGTAAACGAGGAGAGCCGAAGAGAACCCCCCCCCGCCCTCGGGGGCTCCAACAGGGAGCTCGGCCTGCCAGTGGCCCTTGGGCCCCGTGGGGCATCCCCCGAGTCCTTCCTCCGGGGCCCGAAGCTTGGCGGTGCTCTTGGCTCCCCACCAGGCGCTCGGAGGGGGAGGCCAGACGTTTGTGTGCTTGCCTTGCAAGGAAGGTGCGTTTCTCCCCGGAGAAGGAAGGAGCTGCTGGCCGCAGGACTCTGGTGGCTTGAGGGCATCGCGTGGCCTCTGCACAGGGGCACCAGCTGCCACAGCCCTGCCCAGGCCCTTCGGGGAGAGAGCCGGCTGCCCCTTGGAGCAGCCTCCGAGCCCTTCTGGCCCGGGCTCTGCGCCCACCTCGGCCTCAGGCCCCCTCGTGCCGTCCTGAGGGCGAACGGAGGTGTTTTGTGGCTCTGGTCTTTTCCACCGTAGGGCCAGCAGCTCCCCTGGGGCCCTTCTGTCCAGCTCTGCCCCCGAAAGGAGCCTCCTCCCTTTGCAAGCGCCTCGCCTTCTCCTGGGCTCTGCCTGTCCTGTCGCGGAGCAGTGAGGGGTGGGGGGGGGGGCTTGGGGGGGCCCGGGGGGGGGGAGGGGCCTTGTGCGGGGGGGGGGGGTCCTGCTCCTGGAGGTCAGCTTTGGCTTCTGCCCAGCCCCACCAGGCCAAGCAGTGGGGCAGCTTCCGGGGGGGTTTAGCACACCTGCAGATGAGTTTGGGTCCCATGTAAAGCAGCCCCTCTTGGACCAGTCCACGTTTCTGTGACTGCTGAATCCGTCCGTTGTGTACCAGTCCAGGGAACGGAGTCTGAATGGGAGCCGGATGTGCCGTGCCTGGCTTTAAACTCGTGGCGGAAAAGCGGGCGAGGAGCTGAGCCGAGTGAGCGGCTGCTGGAAGGGCCGTTTCTTCCTTGGCTTCCCGGCTTGCGGGGCGCAGCGTCCAGGGATGGCCGTCTTTCAGCAGCAGAAGGTGGAGGAGCAGTACGAAATCGGGGAGGAGCTCGGCAGGTAAGCACCCCCCCCCCCGTTCCCTTCCATCCAATCCAGTTCCAGCCTTTCCTCTCAAGTCTTGGCTGTGGTGTTTCTCTGCCAGGGGGACGCACCCCCCCCCACCCCCCAGGGTGGGCTTTTAGGGGGCTGCCTGGCCCAGGGGGCTGCTCAGTGGAAGGAAGGAGGATAGTGGCCTTGGGGAGGGCTGGCCGGCCTGTTCAGAAAACGTGGGGGCTGCAAACTCTGGGGATGGAGACGTCGTTTTGGACTTGCTGATATTTCCACGCTGGGCTGGGGGGCAGAGGGGGGGGGCATGGAAAGATGCCTGAAATACACATTCAAAAGACATTCGCTGGTCCGAACTGGTCTGCTTGCTGGGCAGAGATGGCGAAGTGCTTTCTCCTCATGGGAACCAGGAGCCCTTCTAACGTTTGGGCTCTGAAGGCTGCTCTGTGGGGCCAGAGCCCCGATGGTGTCCGGGGGGGGGGGGGCAGAAAGACCCCTGGGAGCGGCAGGGAGCCGCCTCCTCCTCGGTTCCTCCAGGGGAGCCTCTGACAGCCTCCCGGCAGACAGGCAGCAGCTCCAGGCGGTGACAGCCGCGCTTCTGGCCAGCAAAGGGCTTGACAGGACCTCCCGGAGCAAAGAGGCTTTCAGCTGGCGGAGAGGGGGAGGGGGTGACTGTCCTGCCCGCCTTGCTCCTTGCGCCAACGACGGAGGCTGCCTTCTCCTGGCACAGCAGTCGGCTCAGGCGCTTCCGGAGCGGCCCTGCAGGAGCCCCGCCTGCCTTGCGCCCTGAGCCCCACTTGCCTCCCGTGGAAGGGCGTCCTCGGCAGGGGATTCCTCTGGGGCAGCGGCCGGTTGGTGCTCCTCGCCCAGAGTTGGCTGCCACCTGGGTGCTCGGGGCCTGTTGGCGCTCCTGCCAGCCTTGGGTGCCGTTGTCGAGGGGTGGAAAGAGGAAGCCGCTCAGGGCATGAATCAAAGCATGTTCCAGTCGCGTAATTTCCTGAGCCAAAAGCTTTTGGAATTGCAATTCTGGCCCAGTACAGGTGGCCCCTCCCCTGCCGACTGCTAGCTGACCTCACGAGGTCCCGGGTGAACCTGGGGAAGTACTGGGTCGCTTAGGACTGTGGCCCTTCCAGTGATGCCCAGCTAGGCCGCCACATGGTCAGCCGGTGGCTGGTGGGGATTTGGCAGCTTTGGGAGGCAGCGGCTCCTCCTGGGCCCTCTGGGCGCTTGGGATCTGTGGCACTCGGATCGTGGGCTCCCTGGTTCTGTGGACTTTCGAGGGGCTCCAGGCTTTACTTTGGATGGGCTCCAGCGGGTGGTGTTTGCAGCCCGAAGGTGGGTGTGTCGTGGTTGTGGAAGACAGTTGCCCAAGGGGGCTCAGGGCCAGCCTGCCCAGCTCCCCTCCGTGCAGTCAGGGGCTTCCTATTTCCAAAACTGAGGGCTGAACAGCCGCTTCCCCAGTTCTTCCCCCTGAGACGGGCCTCCCAGCCTTTGCCATCCCAAAGGGCTCCACTGGATCCGGTGAATAACCAATTCGTTGGGAGGGGGTGGCGGTTTGGGAGGATGCTGGTGGGGCAGACCCCCTCCCCACCCAGCCCCTGCCAGGGGAGCCTCTGAACCCCAACCAGGGAAGCGGAGAGCAAGGTTGACCGCGCTAAGGCAGGAGGCGCGATGGGGCCCAAGGTCACGCTGGGCGTTGGCCGGTTCCTGGGCACGGAGCCCAGTGCCGGGAGGAAGCCAAGGGCCGCTGCCCAGAATTGGGGTAAAGGGGAGCGATGACTAGGCAGCAGTCAGGACACCTGGGAGGAGCTTCCAGATGCACTTGGACTGCAGCTCCCATCATCCCCTCTTGCCAGATTAAGGACCAACCCGAGGAGCCTGGTTTCTAAGGCTCTTAGGTTGGCGAGATGAGGGGCCGGCTTGGTGCTTCACCCGCCATTGCCTGAATGGCCAGTTGGGGCCCATCCAGGTACGGTTGGCTCTCACCGGGATCCAGACAATAGTGGCTCATGCAAAAGCCGCTGCGAATGAGCCTGAGGCGCCCAGGTGAGGCAGGAGCACCTGGACGAGTGCTGTGTCCCTCCAAACAATGGCTGGGCGTACGTTAAGCAGGCCGATTCTCCCGGGTGCAGGCAAAGGCCGGCCCCAGCCTGGAGGTGGGTGGGTGGCAGGCTGTGGTTCCCCATCCCATCCCAGCTGAGAGTCCCTGTAAGCACCGACCCGGGTGCAGCCCCCACCAGCCGGAAGGAGGCCGGTCCTCCCAGGGAGCCTCTGGGGTCGGGGACTGGCCTGGCCCAGGAGAGGGGGGGGGCAAAGGCAAGCAGCTGCCCCCCACCCCCGTGGGAAGGGGGCTGGCTCAGCCATGGGGGCTGGCTCAGCTGGGCTCCCTTCAGCCGAGCGTTTGCGTTTCTGGGCTGGTTCTCTGGAACTGGGAGTGGGACTCTGGCCGCTGCTGCTGGACCTGGTGCCTTCCTCCCCCCAGGCCCTTTTCTCTTTGGAAGGCAGCCGCCTTGGCAACAAAGGGGGCGTTGTGGGCAGCCTTTGGGCCAATGAATGGGCTAAACAAAGAGCCCCCCCCCCCGTTTCATGGCTGCTCCTCCCCTGACTGTGCCTGGAGGGAAGGGCCCAGAAGGGCTGGCCGGCCTCTCCTCCAACCCCTCCTTCCCAAGGTTTCCCGGGGTGTGTGTGTGTGTGTGTGTGTGTGTCTGTGTGTGTGTCTGGGGGCTGCGTTCCTTGCCTTGCAAGGCTTTTCTACCAAGTGCAGGGAATGGGGGGGGGGGGGGCGCAGAGGGGCTCCCGTGTTGCCTGTGGGGCTGCCGAAAGGGGAGGGGCCGCTGCAGGGTTTCCAGCCGCCGCTGGGTTTGGGCTCCAGGTCCCATGGTCCCCGGCTGTGGTGGGAGGCTTTCCTCCCTCCAACTGCTCCTGGCGCCTCCATGGCTGCTCTCCGGATGCTGCCCGTTGCCCTTCGCCCTTTGCCGCTTGGCTCCGTCCCCTGGCACAGTCCGGCCGTGGCTCCCCCAGAGTGACCGGCCGGCCTTCCGTTTTGCTGCCCCGGCCCCTTGCTGGGACCCTCTCATTCCGGGCATAGCTGCTCCAGCCCCTGGTCTATCTTTAGCTCCTGGGAGGGTCATTCTGGCCACCAGGAAAGGCAGCTGGGGGGGGGGAGCAGGGAGGGGAAGAGGAGGCCGGCTGGATCGGCGCCCCCCCCCCCCCGGCGGGCCCCCCAGGGGGCCTGGCTGGCAAAGGGGCACCAACCTTGGCCGAGGAGAGCCGGGCGGGGGGGCCACAATGCCTGGGCTCTGCTCCTGAAGAGGGGCTGCTTCCCTGCGGCCCCCACCCTCAGCCCAGGGGGAGGGGGAGGAACCAGCAGCCTGGCTTAACGAGGGACCAGTCGATCTGGGGTGGTCTTAGGGGACCCCCTTTGACCGAGGAGGAGCAGCCCAAACCGATTTGCCCTAACAGGCCCCCGAAACCTGCTTTTTTTGGGGGGGGGGGCTGGCTGACATTGTGGAAAGCAAACAAAAGGCAAGTCCTCCCCTGGGGTCCCACAGCCACAATGATGGCTTCAGCCCCCCCGCCCCCGGTCCCATTATGGCTCGAAGCCCTGCCACCTCCTGGTGCCCTCAGCTGGGTTGGAAAACAAATCCCATCGTCCCCAGCCGGCTTAGGTGGGCAAAGAAGCCTGTTTTGCAGCGTGTGTGAATGCCCTGCCGCTGAGGTCACTTGGGCAGCGTAAAGAGGGCAGGCAGCTGGTCCGCCTCCTCCTGCCGCCTGGGGCTCTGGGCGAAGGGCTCTGGGTGGCGCCACCAAGTCTGACTGCAGCTGCCAGGAGAGGAGCTCCCTCCCCGTTCTCTCCCCCCCCCCCCCCCCGCCACTTTCCTCTCTGCCTTTGAGCCGCGCTTTGGTCCAGCCGGGACCGGATCTTGCACTCCCAGCTGGGAGCAGCCGCCTCTGCAGAGCATCGGAGCTCTAAAGGGGCCTCCAAACATACCCCCTGCCCATCACGCCAGCCTGGGACGGGGTGCCGATGTTTAGATGACATGCGACCTGCAAGAGCTGCATTCTGGCCCCCCTGCCCTCTATGCCTTTTCCAGTTCGGATGGGCTTGCAACCTGGGGTCTCAAAGGCTGAGGGTTGAAAGTCCGGGGGTTGCGGGGGGGGGGGGGGGGGGAGGCTTATTCTGGGCCAGAAAGAGCCCCCACCCCATTGCTTATTCCACAGAGGCCACAAAGCCTAGCGCCATCTGGTGTCTCAGTTGCATCACTGCGCTATCCACACAGCCAGCGCCTGATGCTCCTGGGACCTTGGTGAGTTGGGATACTCTGAGAAGGGGTCGGAGGGGGTCCATCTCTCGCAGCGGGGCGGGGGGGGGGTTGCCTATCCTCCAGCCTCCTCTCCTCTGGAGCCCATCCTTGAAAGGGTTTGAGGAAGGAGTTGCGCAGCTGCTTCCTCCAGGAAGCGTCCGGCTTCCTGCAAGGCCCCCTTCTTCGCACCTGGAGGGAAGAGGGCTTGGGGGAGGCTCCCCCCCCCCTGGCTGTGGCATTGGCTCATCCGCTCTCTGTTTCCTGTTTCTGACCTCGGAAGGGGCCCCTGAAAGGCCTGCTGGATGGGGCCCCTTGGGACTCCGATGGCCGGCTGTGCAGAGAGGCTGCTCCCTCGAGCCTTGCCAGCATTTCTCCCCAAAAGGAAAAGGCAAATGTGAAGGGAGATCCAGTCATCCAGGCCAAAAGTATCTAAAAGGTGAAATCATGGCAACTGGGCCAGAGATAACTAAAAAAACCTCCCTGAATCTCTGCCTGCCCATATCCTCACATTGACTGAAGGGGCTACTTGGATGAGTAGCCTTGAACACCTCAGTTCTAATGAGCGTCTGGTCCAGTTCAGATACTTTTGGCCCGGATGACGGGGTCTCCACTTGCGTCTTGGCCTGCTCCCCCCACCTCGTGCAGCCCTCATCCGGGGAGCCTCCCCAGACCCTGCCCGCCTCCTCACCCCAGAGTAACCCTGTCCAGTGGCTTTGCTTGCAGCGGGCAGTTTGCCGTCGTGAAGCGGTGCCGGGAGAAGGCCACAGGGCTGGATTATGCGGCCAAGTTCATCAAGAAGCGGCAGAGCTGGGCCAGTCGCCGCGGGGTCCGGCGTGAGGAGATCGAGCGGGAGGTGAACATCCTGCAGCAGATGCTGCACAGCAACATCATCCAGCTGCACCAGGTTTACGAGAACAAAACCGACGTGGTCCTTATCCTGGAGCTGTAAGTCAGGGGCTCCAGCAGTCTTCGGGGTTGGCCGGCTTCCCCTCTCAGAGGAATCTTCGGGAATGGCGGAGTACATGAACGGTCTCGTCGCTGGCTGGGGAATTCTGGGAGTTGAAGTCCACGGATCTTAAAATCCACCAGCTTGAGAAACACTGGTCTGTTTCATCCACACAGAGCCCTGGGAATCCTCCAGGTTATATGGGGTGATTCTGGGTCTCTGCTGTGGTGTTTGCCTAAAATAAGAATCAAACCTAGCTGCAGATCAGTTCAGGGCTCCTGCTCCTCCTACCGAGGTTTCCTCCATTCACACAAGCAGCCTGGTAAGCCCAGCGTTTTCAAACTGATTGTCTGGATTCAACGGACCTTGAACCAGAGGGCTCAAATCAAACCAACCACATAGTGCCTGGACGTAGGTCATCGTGCATGATAAAAAAAGCGCACCCTTTCCTTGTTTATTTATAACAAGTATATTATTTATATATATCCAATTTGAATGAAGTGTATATTATCTGAACAAGAAAGAAACCGTTCCAGGTTGTTGGTTCAAAACAAAGGCAGACTTTCCCAAATGGTTGGAGCTTGGGAGCCAAAGCTACGAGCACAGACTAGAAATGGATGCAACCCTCCCCCCCCAGCCACCCTTTTAAAGTGCAAAACTCCCAAGTTACTCCGCCCTTCCATGTAAATATGGACTTGGGGTCACTGCAGCTGTTGAAATACTCCGAGGGGATCTCTAGAAGGCGGGATCCAAGCTGACCACTGCCTTGCAATAAACTTCACTCACTTAAGCTTAGCGTCAACTCCTCCATCCACATTTCTGGGTCACCATTATTGCTGGATTTTGACAGAATGCAAAGCAAAGCTGTGTCTCTTGCCACAATTATGGATCTGTCACACAGCCAGTTCAATCATTTGGGGGGCATTTCTGTTTGGGGGGTTCTGGGACTAAATGAAACTCAGAATTGTTGTAGTTCGTTTCTCAGAGGGCAGAAAGGGTGAGAAAGCAACGGCAGCCTCCAAATGGCAGCCTGATTGGTGGGAGGAAGGGTGACCTTTGGGAGACCCGTTCTCATCACAGGCAGGCTGCCAATTTGGGGGGGGGGGGGGGCGGAGGGGGCGCCGGGGGTGGATCCGAGGATGGAGTCCCAGCACACCCTGACCCGCCGTGGGGGAGGCTGGGCTCAGCTGAGGAAAGAAGCCAAATTGGAAGATTGCAACTCCATCCTCCTCCTCCTCCGTGGAACGTAACAAACTCCCCATCCGAAGAGCAGCACCTTCACAGGAGGAGCAGCCATTTGCTGAAAGGGGAACCACCCCCCCAATTTTCCTGGGTGTCGTTGTAGGGCATCTCCTGGCGCAGGGAAGGGAAGGCGTCCTGGCTGATCCCCTCCCCACAATTGAGATTTGTACAGGTTATATTCCCTGTAATTTGTAATGTTATTTCATTGGGGATGAATCGCCAGGTAGGCAAGGAGCAGGGGGACCTCCATGCGCTTCCTCCTCCTCCTCCTCCTCTTCTTCTTTTGCAGAGTATCCGGAGGGGAACTTTTTGACTTCCTGGCCCAGAAGGAGTCTCTGAGTGAGGAGGAAGCCACACAGTTCATTAAGCAGATCCTGGATGGGGTCAACTACCTGCACACCAAGAAGATCGCCCATTTTGACTTAAAGGTGAGGAGCCTCTTTCCTGCCAGGGGTGCAGCCCCCCGAGCCCCCTCCCTGCCCGGCTCAGCCTGGGGGTTGATGCTCTTCTCCCCTCCGCTCCCTTTTCCGTCCTGAAGCCTGAGAATATTATGCTGCTGGACAAGACCCTCCCCATTCCTCACATAAAACTGATCGATTTCGGTCTGGCCCACGAAATAGAAGATGGAGTGGAGTTTAAGAATATATTTGGGACGCCAGAATTCGTAGGTAAGTTGGTGCCCTTTTGCCCTCAACTCATCCAGGACCCGGGGTGGCAGGCTGTCTCAATCTGGGGCCCTGCCACTGTCTGCCAGGAGTGCGATTTCCCTCCTGGCCGAGGATGATGGGTCCTGGCTATCCCCAACACACCTGGGAAGCTTCAGGTTGGGGCAGGCAGCCTTTGTCTCTCTGACCTTTTTGGGATCCACACTCTTCTTCCAGCTCCGGAAATCGTAAATTATGAGCCGCTGGGATTGGCCGCTGATCTGTGGTGAGTCTTTCCTGCCTGCGTTTCCTCTCCCTCCAGCCTCTTTCCTTCACCTGCTCCTTCTCTGGTCGGTCCGCTGGCTTTTGCCTGCTGGGCCTTTGCAAACAAGTCAGCAAACGGAAGAGAAGTTTGCTGTTTTCTCCTTACGGCCAACCTGGCCAAGGGATTTGACTTCAGCATAAAGCTGTGGGTGTCTTTTCTTTTTTCCCTTTCTCCCCCAGGAGCATCGGAGTGATCACTTACATATTGTAAGTACTGGATTATTAGTCCCCTTTACTTGTTTATTTTCATCCCTGCTATTTTCAATCCCACATTTCCTGCCAGATGTGCAATCCCCACAACGACCCTGTAAGGTCAGCAGATTGAGAGGAAGAACGTTGCCTCAGGCAGCTGGTGGCGAAATAGGAGGTGGGCTCCGTTCCTCCAGCCCCTCCTGGGAAAGGCTGCCCAGGCGCTCAGCGGGGAGGCCTCCGACGGGGGGGGGGGGGGTTGGGGGGGGGGAGAGAAACAACAAGCATTGAGCTGCGGAAACAGAAGAGAGAGTGAGGCCGGGACCCGAGTATTGCGCAGATTGGATGGAGGCGCCTACGACTAATGGTTGAGATGAAAAACATCCCCATCTGCTCTCTCTATTCTAATAGACTAGCAAGGTGGCGGAAAGCAAGCAAATGGAGAAGTCCAGGCTGGCCCTGCAGAGTCCTTGGGCAGGGGAGGGAGGAGAGGCTCCATAAAGGGGCTGCTGCCCGCTTCCTGCTCCGTCACCCCAGCAAAGTGCCCATAGCTGGCCAGGGGAGGCCATGGGGAATCCCTGGCAGCCGTTGCACAGGTCACCCACCAGGGGGCAGCGTGGACCTGTCCCTGGTCTTGGGAAGGCGGCAGCCCAGTGGGAGGAACTTCTGGTGCCCACCCAGGGAGGAGGGCTTTGGGGGTCCCTGGCATGCATCCCCCCACCCAACCCCAGCAGGCTGCAGTTGCTCCCTCTTCCTGGCTTCTGTTGTGTGCACCCCGATTCCTACCAAGGCAGGAAGAGGAGCGAGAGTCCTCGATCTGGGCTGGGGGGCTCAGATAGTCCCTCCCTCCCTCCCTCCCTCCCTCCCTCCCACTGAGCCGCCAGGGCAACCTGGTCCTGGGCCACACAAACGCTCGTCTTGATTTTATAACCAGATTATCCCGGGCCCTTTCCTGTGGGCTCTGCGCATGGTGCTCGGCCCTTCTGTCTCCATTGGCCCTGCCAAATCCTGATACACTTGCCTGCCCCCCCCCCCCCCCCCCCCCCCCCCACCCCCCCCCCCCAATTCCTCATGCAGGCTCAGTGGTGCCTCTCCATTCCTTGGAGAGACCAAGCAGGAGACGCTGGCTAACATCACTGCCGTCAGCTATGAATTTGATGAAGAATTCTTCAGCCACACCAGCGACCTGGCCAAAGATTTTATCCGGAAACTTCTGGTGAAGGACACACGGTACGTCCCGAGCGCCTTGCCAGAAGCTGGCCGGTGGGGTTGAGGGTCCTTCGTCTGGCCCAGGAGGGGCCTGGGTGACCACTGGATCTGAGGAGAACCTGGGGAGCCTTTGTGCCTCACTGGGACCCGGCAAGGGGAGCTCCGTGTCCGGTTCAGCGTCATTTGGCTCCGGTGTCGCAGGGCTGAAGGGCTCTGCTCTGACGGGGCTCTCGGAGAACTCCCGAAAAGGAAGAAATGGGCATTTATGGGGTGCCCTTCCTGGCCCCCTGATCTAAGGACGGATTTCCTCTCAGCGCCTTCGTAGCTTTCAGACCTGCCTCTTCAAAGTAAGCATAGAAGGTGCACTGATGGCCATTCACTGTAGACAAGCAGGCCTACAACACCCCACTCCCCCCCAATGTGGTCCCTGGGCTGCCTCCCTCCAAGCCCAGGGGGGCTCTAGATGGGCCTCCTCTTCCTGATCTGAGGCCTTCCCATGGGGTTGGGTGGGGGTGGGGAATGAACGTGCCCTCCCTGCGCCTCACGGGGGGCTCACGGAGGCCTTTCTCCCCCTTTAGGAAGCGACTCACCATCCAGGAAGCGCTCAGGCACCCCTGGATCAGGGTAAGTCACGAAGGGCCGGAGGTTTTGCAGTGGACAGCCAAGCCCTGCTGAACTTGGACAGAGCTTTGTATGGCCCTCCCTCTTTGGGCAGAGAAAACTTCATGCTCAAACCCCTGGTTTTCATTATTGAGCCGCGTTTTCCGCTGCAAAGCCTGGCCAAGCTATGTCTGAGGTCCTTTTCAGGGGAAAGGAATAAAGTAATCAGGCCTAGCTTCTTAAAAAAATAACATTTCTTCTCTTGGACATTATTATTATTATTATTATTCCATCTTTGAGATACAATTTTCTGTCCTGGCACACCCGGAGTTCTCCGTACCCATCTCTGCTGTCGGCATGGAATGATCCAGTGGGTTCTCTCGGCTTTGCTTGTTTGGGTCTTGTGGCATGCAGACTCCTTCCCTCCTGCCCTTCCTGAAGTCAAGAGTTGCTTGTAAGTGCAACTTGTCAGGAAGGACCAGGAGAAGGGAGACCCTCCTCGGGGATCAGCCCCCTTCCTTGTGGCCTGCATGCCAAAGCCAGAAGGGGCATCCGGATGTCAGCAATTGCAGAATATCAAAAACGTCTGAACGCTGGCAGTCATGTGTAAACTGATCCAAATGTTTATTTTATTTTTGGATATCCATGAAATGAGTGGGCACAAAATCCGCTCTTTGCTGGGCATCCTGTGTAAGACGGGCTCTGCCCCTCGAGGCTGGAATTTATCTTTCCCCAGGCCTCCCTCGAGGAAGGCTGGTGGGGCTGTCCCAGAAACGGTTCTGGGAGTTGTGGTCCGATGTGGATGCCGGCACGTAGTGAGGTCATTTTCCTGGTGGGAAGGCTCCCGTTTCACAAGTGTTTTGCAAGGAAGATACCAAATGCATGAAGAGGAGCGAGGATTTGCGCTGGCTTCTGGCACCGTGCACTTGTGTGTGTGTGTTTGCACCCTAGTGTGATGAGGCTGATGGTGTGGTGTCTTTAGACCCTTGTGGTGAGATGTTCCTGGTCAATAACCGTCCTCCGGCTTCTCTCCAGTCCAAAGAAGGCTCCAAAGTCCAAGGCCACAGGAGGACCGAGCACAGGCCACTGAAGACCAAGTGGCTGAGAGATTACACCATCAAAAGCCACTCCAGCATTCCTCCGAACAACACCTATGCCACCTTTGAACGCTTTGCCCGCGTGGTGGAGGAGATCTCTGGCATGGAGAAGAGCTTCGGCACCCTGGCAGCCTCCCACGACTCCTTGCAGGGGGACATGGACGCCCTGGTCTCCATCTACAACGAGAAGGAGGCTTGGTACAAGGAGGAGCATGAAAGCGTGAAGCACGAGCTCTCCCAGCTGAAGTACGAATATCGCAAGATCGACTCCCAGAAGAAGCACCTGAAGGAGGACGTCCAGGCAGCAGGCGCCAACCTCGCGGGGGTCGCAGGGAGGTACGTGGGCCTGCAGGCGCACTACGAACTCCTGAGCAAGGAGCTGTCGGAGGAACTCCAGTGGATCCAAGGCTTAACGGGCAGCTTCTGGCCTGAGGGCAGCGAGGAGGGCTACGTGCCGGCCAGCTTTGGCTGCGTCTTCCAGAAGGACCTCAACGAGCTGCTGAACCGGTCCTGCTACGAAGAGTTCCTGGCGGCCTTAAACCTGAGCGTGGCAAGATCCAGCCAGTGAGGCTGCTGAAGATGGAAGGGTTTATGCTGCTGCTTCGCTCCCAATGCCGGAGGAATTGCCAGGACGGGGAGCCCGCGTGCCGAACTCACGTTTGGGTTTATTTTGGAACAGTTTGACAGACCCTTGTTGCCACCGTATTTTTACGTATTTGTTTTGTCCCTGAGAAAATACGTCCCGGTGGCGGTTCTGGATGTTTGTGCCTGCCTTGGTTGGGTTCCAATGAATTTCTAATAAGGCTTTGCATTCACCCCCCTCCCCCCCCCTCCAAAGCTTGCCCTATTTTTATCCTTTGGAAGACGGCCTTAGCTTACCCTCACGACTGAGGGCCTCCTCAAGACACGACCGTAGATCAGATCCTTAAAAGCTTTTTATTTATGGCTGAGTTGCCGCTGTAAAGAGGCATTGATTTTCTTTGGGTTTGAAATTCTGTATGAAAGTATTTTTTGATAATGGAGCCAGATGTGAAGTCTGTTGGGCTCTGCAAAGCACACTCTGCAGGCTCTCTGGCTGAAAGACAATCTTGCAAATACCTTGGAGAATAAACGGAGGATTCTGAATACATTTGCAGAACCCCTCACACGAGCTGCTGCTGCGTAAGGCAGGACCTTCAGCCTGGACATTAATCTCATTCCTAATAAATAAGCCACTTCCTCCCAGTTAAGACTATCCAATCTCTCTGTAATGGGAGAACTAATTTTCGTATAGAGATCATTTGAAAATGAAAGAGGGAGCAACGTGGAAGATGCGCTGTCTGCCTTGCCCTTATGCTCCTCTCCTTCAGAGCATGTCCTTCTGCCCACTCTGTAACTGATCTCGGAGGACGAGAGTCAATAAATACTTGCTTAGCCTCGTGGCTTTCTCTCTAGTCAAAGCTTGTGTCCAAAGACCCTGGAGAATGACCTTGGGGATAGGAGGGGGGGCCTTCGCTGCTCAGAAATCATTTCCCTCCCAGGTCAGCAGGAACAACTCCAAAGGTTTAAGAGTTTAAGAGCGCTCGCTGGATGAAGGAGGTGAAAAGCAGCTGCACGCAAGGAAAGGGAGGGAGGCTTTTAGCAGGAAAGGGAAGAACCGAGGAGGCTGAAATAAGGAGGGGGGGCTGCTTGGTGGGCTCTCTTCTTCTCCAGCCCAGGGAGGCTACCGAAGGAAGCTCAGCTGTAGCCGAGAGCCTCCTCATCTTCTCCCTGGGCCTGAAGCGAGCTTTCAACGTAGCGCCGTGCCACTTCTTAATGTTTATACCCCATCCAAAGTCTTACGGAGTTGGGCAGCAGATAAACATAGCAAAGGAATAAAAACACAGTAAGTAAATAAATCTTTGAGAGACCAGCTTGGTCAGCTGTTTGTGGCTCTTCCCCAGCCAAGATTTATATACCTGAATCTGGGCTCCTATTTTGGTGGCAGAACACTGGAATCTGTAGGGTGGTTGGAGCAGCGGGATGACCCTCCGTCGATTTTATACGGGATATTTAATGTGTCCAGCATGTTACAAAAACAAGGCGGTGGGTCTTACTCCAAGGAACTGGAGGACTAAAACCCAACACCTGCAGAGGAAGGACTAGAGAGGAAGCAGGTGGACAAGGTAGCCGAGGTTAGGAAGAAAGCCAGCCCCAAAGGGAGCCAGGCGACGCCCGGATCATTTGAGCGCTTTCTCCTCAGGGGCCCCGGGGGCTGGGCCTGATCTTGTCCCTCTTGTCTCCAGCCCAAGGACAACCACCAGGCCATGGTAAGGCGGGAATCGGCCGTTAACCTGGAGAACTTCAAAAAGCAGTACGCCAGGAGGCGGTGGAAGGTGAGGAGAACCTGAGATGGGACCTCAGGGAACAGAGAGGGAGGCGCCAAGAGCTCCCAGGGAGTCCAGGCCATGCAGCTTCCCTGGCAAAGATCCTTCCGTGGGGGAGAACTGGGGCAAGGGAATGGCCCCCATCCAAAGAGAGGGCAGTGGGGGAGCTCAGGAGCGATGGTCAGCCAACTGGCCCGACTCCTTCTTCTCCTTGGGCCCAGGCCTTGGGGCCGGCTGCCTGGACTGGCCAGAGCAGGCCCTGAGGCAGAGCGGGGCAGGGGCTTCCTCTCCTCCCCCAGGTATGTTTTCCGCTGCCTCCTTGCAAAGGGGGGGATGCGTCTGAGCTCGGCCTTGTTGGAGAACGGCCTCTGTGGCTCCTTCTCCCAGGGGGGCTTAAGAGTACCGAGGAGAGTCTTTGGAAGGAGGCAAAGGGGCAGCCAGGAGTTGGGGGAAGAAGGTAGCATGAGCCTTCCTGGGGTGGCGCTTTCTAGGAACCTGACGATGGGCATGAGGGTGTCCCTGGTTTGGGTTCCCAGTGTGTGACCGAGGGCCTCTTTCTCCTCAGCTCACCTACAGCATAGTGGCTCTGTGCAACCATTTGTCTCGCTCGCTGGTGCGAAAAGTTCGCTTAATGCAAGAGGACAGTTTGGTAAGTAAGCTGAGCGCAAAGAGTTGGCAAGTGAAGAGTCCCACTTGGGCTCTTGCTCTTCCAGGATCGAGGCCTTGAGAGGCACAAGGACCTGGCCAACTTTAGGACCGGCCTGGGAACTTGGCTGCCCCAGGCCTGCTGGGCTGCACTTCCTCGCCCTCCGGAGTGCCGTTCAGCCCCTTCTGGGAGATTTGCGTTTCCCCTCCATGGCGCAGAAGCTTGGAGGGCAGGACTGATTCTCATCACGGGCAACCCAGGCTTGATCCTGGCAAGGAGCTTCGCTCAGGGGCTCCTGCTGGTCTTGCCAAGGAAGAGACCCGCAGGCTGGTCCTGGCACGCTGGGATTGTCCTCCAAGAGGGGACCTCTCCTCCCCCGGCGGCAGCAGGTCTCCAGCCTGAAGATCGCACTGCTCTGTTTCAGCGCCATTGCGAAAGCGACCACGAAGACGACCTGCCTGGCCGAAGGGCAGCCTCCCATTGTGTCCCGAGGCGGAGGAGCAGCATCTCATAACTGGGACCCACCGGCTGGACTGCAGTGGCCGAGAGCCGAGCTCGTGGGATGGGCTGGTTGCCTTCCACAGGGCTTCCTGGGGGAAGAGGCCCTGGAAGGAGCTGCCCCAGGACAGGAGGCACCTTGGCCCAGCCCAGATGTTCTTGCAGGAAAGGGGAGGAAGGCCGCCTTTCCCTCCGGGGCAGTGCCACCTGCCCATCTGTCTGCCCCCCTCTCTTCTGGCAGCAAGAGGTCAAGCCGCTTGGTCAAAGCAGCGACGCTCCACTGGCCTCGTTTCTCCCCAGACGTCTTTCTGAAGTTTGGCCGCTTCTAGATGGGTGGACTTCAACTCCCAGAATTCCCCAGCCAGATCTTGAAATTGCCAAGGCCGATGAACCCTGAGCCAGAAAGGTGCAGCGGCCTCTGAAAATGCCTGAAAGCAGCGTGGAGCTAACAGGCACGCCTGAGGGTGGGCGTGGGTGCACACGCGCATGTGGCTCTTATGCTGATGCGGTTTTTAAAAAATGGCAGGATGCACACACAAGAGCATCAAGCCGGCCTTCTGGAGAGCCCGCCTTAAACCAGTAAGAGAGCCCCAGCGGCTGGGCAGGGGCGAGGGCTGGGCCTGCCGCCAGCCTCCGAGTACGCTGGGCTCCCATGGCTGGCCAGCTGTGTTTTCCTTTTCCCAGCAGCTTCCCAGGCAGGAATTCATGGCAGCAACCTGTTTTCATTTACTTTTGACTTTTAAAGAGATGAGGCAGGCATCCATGGGATCTTTCCGGTCCCTGTTTTGCCAGCAGCCTAAATGCTAAAAATACACATGCAATGTTGGGCAGAGGATGGCAGGAGGGAGGGAGGGAAGGAAGCAAGCTTGGCTGGGTGACCAATCAAGCCGGCTGAATCCCTTTGGAAAGACCCCCCCCCCGGAGCTCAGGCCTTTCCGTAACCCTAGAGACCTCCATGATTTTCCCCACATTGATTTCATTCCTGCTTCTTTGCCTGTATGTGTCTCCCTCTAATGAGGCGGTTTCTCCAAAAATAAAAGTGATATATGGGGCAGCAGGTTCAGCAATGTTATTAGCGTCACGCCTCTAAAGCTTCTGGGTTTCCCGATAGGCTGTGCATCATGGATCCTCGGCACTGATGAAGGAGCCTCGTTAATGCTGAGTGTGGCCTGCCGAGAGACAGCCAGACAGACGGCCAAGGAGGGCGCCTCCCTTGAGCCCTTCCAGCCCCACCTGCATGGCTCAAAGGATCCAGGGATGCGGACCGGACCCAGCGGCCCCGTCGCCTCTTCCAGGCCCCTGAAGTGGGGAGGGGTCTCGGGGCGAAGCGGGCTCTTGGGAGTCTTCTTGCCTTCTCTCCAAATGCAGCCGCCAAAGAGGATCGAAGGAGGCAAAAGAATTGAAGCGAACGGAGACTCGAAGTCCGAATTACAGCCGAATTGCGCGGGGGGGGGGCAGTCCGGCGCCCATGATCCACAGCCGCACTGGATTGCGGCTGATGGATGACGGACTTGCCGCAGCCTGACCGGGGGAGGCAGGCGGCAGGGACCGACTACAAGGCCCATCCTCCCATTCCCTCTTGCTAAGGGACGGGGCGGCGCTGTTGTTCCCTTTCTGTGGAGGGTCAGTCCCGGCGCCGGACGCCAGAGGGCGCCGTGGCGGCCAGCTCGGTCCTGCGCCCCCCTTCCCCCGGCGGTGTTGCCGCGCGACGGAAGCGCGAGGCGGCGGCGGGTCTCGCGAGGCTTGGCTGGTGCTGCCCTCACCCCCCTCCAAGTCCGCTCCCGCCTCCCGCGCGGGATGCTTCCTGCTGCCTGACGAGCCGCCGCCGCCACGGGAAGAGCCGAGGGGCGTTGCGGACGGGCGGAACCGGGCAGGTAGGCGCGGCGGGCGGGCGGGCGGGCGGGTGATTCCTGGGGCGGGAGGCCTGGAGCGTCGCCCCCCTGGCGGCCCGTCCCCGCGCGGCGGGGCTGAGGCGGCGGCCGGGCCGGAGCGCGGCTCGGACTGCAACTCCCGTCGGCCTCCTGGCCCCGCGAGGCATTCTGGGAGGGGCGGGAGCGGCGGCGCTGGACAGCTCCGAAGGCCCCCCGCTCTCCGCCGCCGCCGCTGACCGGCCCGGCCGCCACCCCGAGAGCGGACAGGTAGGCTGGCCCCGCTTGGCCGGGCTCCCCTCCCCGGAGGCTCTGCCCTTCGCCCGCCCGGCGGCCCTTCCTCTGGACGGTTCCGGGCAGCTCCTCCGTCCGCCCGGCTGGGCCTCGACCCCCCTCTCCCCCGGGCCCTCCCGGCTCTTTCGGAAGCTCCCGGGGGGCTCCGGCCTCCTTTCCGCCGCGAAGGGCCTCGCTGGAGTCAGGCCGGGTCCTCCGGGGCGGGCAAAGGGGGCCGGACGCCCGGCTCCCTTTGCCGCTGAGCCCCGGGGCGCCTCCGCGTTCCCTCCCTGGGCGGCGGAGGAC